GTTTGACAAAGTTGCCAAGACCATTAAATGCAGAAAAGATAGTCTTTTCAAAAAATATTACAAAAAGTGGATATATCCACAATCAAAAGAATGAGTTGGACCCTTACCCCATATCATATATCAAAATTAACTCAAAATGGATCAAAGAGCTACACATAAAAGGTAAAACTATAAAACTTAAAGAAAACATAGGGGATAAGCTTCATGATGTTGGACTTGGCAAAGGTTTCTTGGATATGACTCCAGAGGAACAGGTAACAAAAGGAAAAATAAAATGGACTACATGAAAATATAAAAATTCTCTGCATCAAAAGACACAATCAATAGAGTGAAAGGCAACCTATAGAATGAAAGAAAACATTTGCAAATCACATTTCTGATATGGGGGTAATATTCAGAATATGTTAAAAAGAACTCCTAATATTCAACAATGAAAAACAACTTGATTCAAAAATAGGCAAAAGACTTGAATAGACATTCTCTGAAGAAGAGAAATACAAATGACCAATAAGCATGTGAAAAGATGCCTAGCATCACTAATCATTAGGAAAATGCTAATGAAAACCACAATAAGATACTATCTCATACCCATTAAGATGGCTACTATTAAAAAAATAAATCAACAAAAAATAACAGATGTTTGTTAGAATGTGGAGAAATCAAAACCCTTGTGCCCTATTGGAGGGAATGTAAAATGGTATAGACACAGTGAAATACAGCATGGCAGTTTCCCCCAAAAATTAAAAATAGAATTACCATATGATCCAGAAATTCCACTTCTGGGTATAAGCAGTATCTGGAAGAGGTATTTGTATTCTCATATCCATAACAGCATTATTCACAATAGCGAAGAAATCCAATGTCTTTCAACATCGATGGATGAATGGAGAAACAGAATGTGGTATAAGCATAAAATGAAATATTATTCAGCCTTAGGAAGGGAGGAAATTCTGATGCATCGTACAACATAGATGAACCTTGAGACATTATGTTAAGTGAAATGTCAATTACAGGACAAATACTGCATGATTCCACTTATATAAATTACCTAGGGTGGTCAGATTCATAGAGACAGATAGTGGAAGGGTGGTTGCTGGGGGGTGGGTAATGGGATGTTAGTGTTTAATTGGGCTTGTTATTTAATTAGTTTTAGTTTTTTAAAATGAAAATAATTCTGGAGGTGGATGGTGGAGATGGTTGCAGAGAAATGTGGGGGTACTTAATGCCATTGAACTGTACACTTAGAAATGGTTAAGATGATAAATCTCATTATGTGTACTTCAAAATACAATAGAAAATAATTAACAACTAACTATTGGCTTAAAGAGAAATATATACTGGAATTAATAAATGGCAAATTTTTAAATGAAAATATTTAAATAAAGTGAACATTTTTAATTTAAATTTTAAAATGTTTGTTATATATGGTAATACTAATTTTACAAAAATAAAACTACTTACAATTTACCATGAAATGTCCATTTAGTTGCCAGTTTAAGCTATGGGTATTAGATTTCAAAACTACTATGCTTAGACCAACAGATACTCAAATCTATGAGGAATACAAATTATTTAATATCACATGTATTAAATAATGCAATATGTCACCATGTACAACTGTTGTGAAGAGCATGCCTATTTATGAGTACCTTCAGAAGGAACCACACACTGGAACTTGATGAGAATTAAGAAAATGGATGCTCAATGCTTCTGGGAAACAATACCTCATTATGCAAGCATCTATTGCATTCATGCATCTGAGAGAAAAGATTTGGCAAGTTAATGAATTTGTCTTTTCTTCTTCAGTACTTCTGTTCCTCAAATCTTCGCCCTCAGAGGCAGTGTCTGTGTTCCCAACATGCAGGCACAGTCTTCCCTCAGAGGCAGGACCTGAGGAGTAGTGTCTCTTGGGGGCCTAGATGGCATTAGCGCAGAAGCAGGGCTGGAAGTCCTGAGCCATGCTGTGCAGGTCCTGAGTGTTAGATTCCTGGTGACAGAAGAATCCACAGATCCTGTAATAAATTTATTTTTGGTGTGTGCTTGCGATATGTAGGGACCTCTTAGAGCACAAGGGCCCTTTTTCTTGGGCCAAAATGTGGCACTGTTCAGACCCTACTTTCTACGCCTCAAAATGGAAATGCACCATTTCGATTGGATCTACCCACACAGTGAAGGCTAGAAGAGTCATTAGCCAGAGAATTTCTGTTTGTCTCAGGAGATATTTGGACTTGAATTTTCTAGATTTCTGTCACATTTTATCAACTCTGTGAACTTGGACAAGTTATTTAGAAGCTGTATACCCAGGTTTTCTTGTCTCTAAAATGAGAATTAAAATAAGGCTTACCTTACTGCATTGGGTGAGGATTAAATGGGTAAACGCATAGGATAAAGTTCTTAGCAGCATAATTGGCCCAGGAAGATTACTAGCAATAATGGTGATGGTTTGGATGGCAAGGCAGAGCTTGGGGGTAATTCATGTTCCATTACAATCTCCAAATATACTAGTTGGAACTTATAAGGAATTAAGAGAACTAATTGGACTAGGGTGTGACTTTATCATCAAGATCGAGGCACAGCTAAATGCTCTTTAAACCTGGAATATGGAACAAAGTTTTCTAAGGTACTGTCAAGCTCACCTTTGGTTGTGTGGCTGCTTGAGACAGACCTGAAATGGCCACCAATGATGTTAGGGACTTGAGCAAATATGAGAGTATTTAGGTCAAGTTTCAGGGCCACAGGGGGGCCCTCATGTCCAGGGAGAAGGTCATGTCCAGGGTGAAGTTGAGTGATTCACTGAAAGACCTAGTCAGATGAGAGTGGAGTTCATCTGCCCCGTTTTGTGTACAAAGGTCCATTAACCATCACCTTACACTACTCCTTTGCTGAACTATGAGTCACCTAAGGGACAGAAAAGAAAAGAAAAACACTTCAAAGGTAATTTTTTTCTGCACCAGAAACAGTTTTGGGTTTTCTGGTTTAACAGAATTGAACAGTAAGCCTGCATCATTAATTTCTATACAAAAAAAAGTGTCTTCACTTCAAATGGCAATTAGTGATAACATTTCTATTTCATATTGTGATGAGATTTTTATGCTAATCATCACATAGCAGCAAATTAATCATTTGGGCACAGTTAGGATGTATATTTCATGAGACAGATATAGATATCAAGATCTGGCTGATATTTACTCAAGGTAAATGGGAAGCATCTCAAATTATTATGAAGGGAGCATACTGAGCAAACAGGACTGCATGGCAACAGTACGCCTGTGGCAGAGATGTGTGAGGATTGTCAAACCACTCTGGTGTCATTTGTGTAATTACTGTGAGGGAGGTGGAACACTCTGGCAACTTAAACTCCTAATCATTCAGACACACTACAACCCTCAGAACCACATCTTGGCAATGTGGAAGTCAAATCAGTAGTGAACCTCCTTTCCCTCTAATTCCTCCTTCTTCTGCTACAGAATTCACCCTTTTCACATTATACAATATTTAAACGGGTTTCTTGTCTCAATTTGCACTTAAGTCTACTCAGACAAATGAATCAGAAAAGCAACTTGACCCTAAAGTCAAATTGGAGAGCTATTGTAAGCAAAGGAGATGGGCTGCCACTCAAATGATCCACCATTTCTTAGCAAACAGTTGCTTTTACAACGACTTGTGGAAAATAGAATTGTGCTTAAAAGTGCCTATAGCTACAGCATGTGCCAGGCTCCACAGCTGGCTGGCAGACTTATGCATTTTTGAGGTGCAGGTGGAGTTGTTGTGAGAAAATGCTATATAGACCTCTCCCTTCTCTTTGCATTTCTTTTTCTACCCTTTTACTTTCCCAAGTGCCACGTATTTCTCCCCCACTGTTAGTGCTCCTGACACCCACACTCACCAATACCTTCCCCCACCTGCTCATATTCACAATGTTCCTCCACACAGCCCCTCCACACTCCTCTAGGAAGGCGGCAGGAAATGTCCCAGTTAAGAAAGGGGCTATTTCTGCTATCATTTATCCCTCTATAACTTTTTTTCCAGAGAAACAGACAATCTTATGGGGAAAGTCAAAGCTATGGAATAGTATCCACTTCCTTAGAACCACCTCAAGGATATAGGCAGTGGGGGTACAATCCCAAACCCTATGCAGAAGTGGGGCTGGAGAAAGGATTTAGTTTCCTGGAAGGAGTAGGTGGGTTCAGTGACTCAGGAGGCAGTTGGTAGCAGAGAAAATGACTTTTGCCAGCTGGTGGGAATTTGGGAGTAGATTACAATTTTGTGACAGTTTTTCTCTTTCAGAGTTGTTCAGGAGTTAAAAATTGTGGAGTGATCACTGGAGAATACAAAGTAGACCTCGTTTCAGGCTGTACAGTTCGTGGGAATGATCTAGAGATGTTGCTCAGGGCTGACAAGCAGAAAGTGTGGTAGTTCCAAATCCAGGGTGGTGGGAGTCCTGAGTGTGGCTGTGTTCCTGCTGAGGAAGAATCCCGTTCACTGATCTTGAAGGAAAAGGAAGAGACTCATTTAATAGGAGGCAAATGAGTTTATTTATTTACTTGCTTGTTTTGGTGTCTTGTAATTTTTTATTGAATACTGGGCATTGGGTGTAGAAGAATAGAAGAGATTGTTCCCAGAATGGGTTTGAATCAATATTTTTGCTCTGTAGGACTGTAAGTATATTTAGCCTCTCTGAGTCTCAGTACTTTTACTGGTAAAATGTGAATAAGCCTTAATTTCATAAAATATTGTGTGAAACTTATAAAACACAAATGTAAGACAGTATGATCATTTATCTGATGATAGACCTAGTATTCATCTTTAATAAGGCAATGGGATTATATACACTTGACTTTTTGCCCTAAATGGTGAAATTTTTTTTCTTCTTAATTAAAAATTCCTATCTTAATAAAAATATATGAATTAGAAAGCCAAATGCCTTCATATATTCAATTAAGACTATACTACAATTGTATATTTCTCTTACCCTTCAATAAATGACATAAAACAAAAAATTAGTATCATTGTATTTGTTTTAATGTTCATTACTACACATATAAATGATCTATCTAGTATTTCACTTTCAAGTAGAAACAATATTTTTTACAGGCGGTGAAAAGAAGTGCCCCCACTGTGACCCCTACCATATGTTAATTTTATGTGGGGGTGGAAACAAAATCATTCCTTATTTTAGAAACAGAGAATGTGGAAAGTATTGGAAAAGAGGATAATACTATGAAAAAATATGTGTTTTGAAAATGAATCAGATACAGTTGTTCGGTGAATAGGGGCTTCCTGAAGCTGAAGGCCCGGGATTCCTGGCTAGAAAGGGCAAAAGTGCCTTCTTTCTCTTTCTTGCTAGGATCTGGGCAGCATTTCTTCCAGGTCTGCAACGACGTAAGAGACAACAGACCAGACAGCGGCAGCAATGTTCATCTCCTTTGGACTCATGACCGTCATTGTGTCTCCTTGGGAGTGATGGAAGGAGAAATACTTATACAAATCATCAAGTAGACTGGCTCCTGGGGAGAAAAGAGGAAGAACTCTCTTAGTGAAGGATTTTGACAGAAACTGCTGAATAGCTGCTCAGAAACCACTGCCACCCCTGTCTGCTTCATTCCTGCCTGCTTCTGCTATAGAGGCCACACTGGTAAAATACTTTCCCAGCCTCCCCTGCAGCAATAAAGAGCCATGTGACACCATTCTGACTACTAGGATGTGAATGGAAGGCCATGGGAAAGTTTTTGGAGAGTCTTTACTGGACAAAAGAGTCAAGCAAATACCCTAATGATGCATTAAAAGTAGATGAGAAGTTGAAGCTCTCTTGTACATGAGAGAAAAAAACCCACATGCTAAAAATGGCGGAGTGGAGAGGCAGAGAAGCCTCGATTTGGAAAATATTGCTAATCCAAGGAACCGACTCTGCACTTCCTCCTTCTGGACCTCCTGCTGAGGGTAATTATATGTTTAAGTAACTGATACCAATGTCTTTATACTTATTAAAGGACAGTATCTTTTTTGTATCTGCAAGAGTGCAACTTATGTACCTTCCTGGAGACAAAAGAAGGTCATTCCCTTACTCAAGTTTTCCTGCTCAAATCCTTCATTTACTTCCCATGAAGTTCCCTGGCAACCTCCAAGGACACCATCAGGGGTCTCTGCCCTGCCTGAAAGCTTTTCTCTCACTCTAGTGAAGCTGTCCTCCAGTTTCAGGCGTGGGTCAGAGCCTCAAGGGGTCCTTGCTTTCTCGTACAGAACCTACTGGGCCATATTATGGACTTCAGTGGTAGTTCTGCAGTCTCTGGCCTTGTTTTATTTATTTGCTTATTTATTTACTTACTGTTTTATTGTGAAATACATCATACACACATAAGATTGTAGAGAACATGAATGTATATTGCAAAGGGAGACAATATGAAAAGCACATATGTGTGCATAATTCAATGCAAGAAAGATATAGCCAGGGCCTTTGAAGCCTATTTTACAAGCCCATGTCCACCCCCAAACCCCCTTCTCACTACTTATAGATACTTCTTCCAGAGCTCACCATCCTGTTGTGCTTCCATAGCAACTATATATATATGAATATATAAAAAATCATTTAATATTATCTGCTTTTGAACCATATGCTCAGAAAAATTTTTGTGACTTGCTTTTTCTGCTTAACCATATGTAAAATTTATGTATGTTATTGTGTAAAGCTGTAGTATTTTCATTTTTATTGCTGTACATTATCTCACTGTATTTATTTACCCATTTCCCCAACAATGGGCGTTTACATTATTTCCAGTTTTCTGTTATTTATATGCTTCTATTAGCATTCTCTATGGTCTAAATAGAGGGCTTGAATTGCTGGGTTATATCATAGGAATGTGTTTAATTTTATCATGCAATTCCAAAATGTTTTCCTTTGCAATTTATACTTTTACTGTCAATATATGAATCTTTCTCTTGCTTCACATCTTTTCTAGTGTTTGGTATTGTCAAGCTAACTTTTGCTAATCTGATGGGTATAAAATATCATCTTATTATGGTTTTAATTTTAATTTTTAAAATCATTATTGATAATTGGTATGTTTTAATATATGTATTTTTGTCATTTATGCTTTCTCTTTTGTGAACTGTTTGTGCCTTTGTCCATTTTTCAATTGATTTGTAATCTCTTCTTATTGATTTAAAGGAGTCCTTGATATACTTTAGATACTAATCTTTTGTTAGTATTCAGTTTGTATACCTCACTTTCCAGTTTGTGGCTCTTTTTACTCTGTTTGGTGAATAGATGTGTTTTGTTGAGTAGATGTTCTTACTTTCAATGTAGTTGAATTTATGAATCTTTTCCTTTCTGATTTTCATGTTTCACATCTTCTTTAAGAAACTTATCCTTACCCTAATATCATAAAAATATTCTCTGATGTACTGAAACTTTTAAAGTTTAGTTTTTCATTTTAAGTTCTTCCTCCATTTAAATTAGAATTGATTTCTTTGTATGGTAGGCTTTATTTTATTTTTCATCTGTCCCAGCAAAGTTTCCTTAGTACATCTTTTTTCTCCACTGATCTGTGGTACCAATTTTGCAATATATCAAGTTTCGTTGTATGTGTGGGTATATTTTGGGGCTTTCTAATTCTGTTCTAGTGGGCTATTAGTCTTTTCCTCCAGCAATACCACAGCATTTTAATTACTCTTGCTTTCTAGCCCTTGTTTACCAGCAGGCATGTTTCTTCTCTTCCTTCTCATTCAGAAGTGTTGTACTATGTTTGACCATTTGCTCTTCCAGATAATGTTTAGAATCATTTAAAAATATTACAGAAATATTTTTGAGTTTTGATGGGAATTGTGTTAATCTATAAATTTTGGGAAACTTAACATCTTTAATTAGAATATGGTGTTCTTATTTATGAAAATAGTGTTTTTCTGTTTAAATCTTCTATAATGTCTGTAATGTTTTGTAATACAGTTTTGTATTTGTAATTTGTATTTGTAATAATGTTTTGTAATACAGTTTTGCATATCTTTTGTTAGTTTTCCTTCTTCTATAGTTCCTATTTTTCTTTTGCTAACTGTAAATTACACATCTTTTTAAAAATTTGCATTTTATGTTTGTAGATATTCATTTTTAGTTTCAAAGATATCACTGATTCATACAATGGCAAGTGTTTCTTTATTTTCCTACACTCTGGAATAGTTTCTATAAGATTAGAATGATTCATTTCCTGCTTATTTTGTAGAACATACAAAACCATTTAAGTCTGATGTTTTCTTTATGGTAAAAATTTTAACTAATGAGTCACTATCTTTCCTGATTATTGGGTGATTCAAGTTTTGTATTTCTTCTTGAATTAATTTTGGGAGTTACATGTTTCTAGGAATTTATGTATTTTGCCTAAATATTCAAAATAATAGTCATAAAGTGGTCAATAACATCCTGTCTTTTTAAATGATTGCAGAATCTATAGAAATGCTCTCCTTTTCATTCCTGATATTGGTTATTGGTGTCTTCTCTCATCTTACCAGCAGCTTCTCAGTTGTATTAGTTTTTGAACAAAAAAAGAAAACAATTGCCCTGACTGGCATAGCTCAGTGGATTGACTGTGGGCTGTGAACCAAAGTGTCGCAGGTTCGATTCCCAGTCAGGGCACATGCCTGGGTTGCAGGCCGCGGTCCCCAGCAACCGCACATTGATGTCTCTCTCTCTCTCTCTCTCTCCCTCCCTTCCCCCTCTAAAAATAAATAAATAAAATCTTAAAAAAAAACAATTTCAGTTTATTATCTTTATACTTTCTATTGCATTGTAGATTTTTTTATCATTGATTTCTACTCTTATTTCTATTAGTTCCTTCCTTCTTTTTGGGGGGGTTCATTAGCTTTTCTCTTTCTAACTTTCTAAGTTAAATGTTCAGTCTATTACTTTGCAAACTTCGTCTCTAGCAAGAGAAGTGAGGTGACAGTCTTCCCCCGATGCTGCTTTACTCTCGATATCCCACCAGTTCAGATGACTTATTTTCATGATCACTCAGTTCTAAAACTTACTGTTTCTTAGTTTGATTTTTTCTTTGAATCATGTGTTAGAATTATCACCCACTAATTTTCAAAAGTAGGGGGCCTCCTTCATTACTTTTTCATTATTGATTTCTAATTTAACTGTTAGAGAACCTGGGCTGTATGATACAGGTTCTTTGAATTTTGTTGAGATTTTCTCTATAGGCTGTTGTGTGATCCATTTTTATAAACATTCCCTGTGTTAAAAAGAATGTGTTTTCAGTATATTGTATATGTCCATTAGATCAAGCTTGTTAATTGTGCTTGTCAAATCTTTTAGGCTCCTTACTGATTTATTATCTATTTGATCTATCAGTTTTGAGGGAAATGTGTGAAAATGCCCCTCTGTGATTTTGGATGTGATAATTTTTCTTATAGTTCTCACAATTTCCTTTTCACATATTTCAAATTTATGCTATTAGGAGCACACATACTTAGAATTACATCTTCCTGGTAAATTGAACATTTTTATTAATATATAGTCATCCTCTTTATTTGTGTTAAGGCTTTTTGTCTTGAAGTTTAGTTTTCTGATATTTAATACAACAGCCACTCTTGCTTTCTTTTGCAGAGTATTAATCAGTATGTCTTTACCCATTATGTTAGTTGGAGTCTTCTTCTGCCCTTATAGTTTTTAGGGGTTTCTCTCATAAATAGTTTACAATTGAATTTTAAAAAATATAATCTAAAACCCTTTGATTTTTAATTGAAGAGCATAAATTATTTATGTGGATTGTGATTATTGTTAAATTAGATTCATTTATACCATCTTAGTTTTTGCTTTCTATTTGTTCATTTTGTTTTCTACCTTTCTTTCTTGCCTTCTTTTATTTGATTTTTCCCCCTCTTCTCACTTCTTTCTTTTTTTCCCTCACTTTACTCCCATTTGGAAGCTATATACTTCATTTCTATTGTAAGTAGAGACTTTTAGAAATCACATCTCACATACTCATCCTAATAAACTCAAAGTTAACCAATACCTTATATAAGAACACTAGGGGCCCATGTTTTATCTCCTGTCCCACATGCACTCACTGCTTATTAAAATATACTGTCTAGAAAAACAGGTATTGGCTGAGACTCTCAGACAAACACTAACTAGGCTCCAGAATTTTCTTACCCCTATAGATTCTCACTTTATCATTTTTCACCTCTAAGGAATTCTTTTACTTTGCCTCCTGCTCAGCCATGTATCATAGAAAAAAATTACTACTTTATGTAACAATTAACTTGGGGAAAAGGAGTGTATGTGTGAACTTCTGGTCTACTACATTGCCAGAGCTCTCTTCTCCTAATTCTTCAGTTCCTGCCCTGTGGACTGGACACTTCATTGTTCCTAAGCCCTTAGTTGCCTCAGGATGCCATCTAAGTGCTCCCTAATCCAACCCACATTTTTAAAACTGCCAAGGTTTCCCCTACCTATGCTCTCAAACTTCTTGCCCTGGAATAGAATTGAACTTATCTCTGTTCATTCATGTTTTAC